TCTTCGGGAACGTGAGAAGTCCATTGTACAACTGCGCCCTCTCTGACACGTTTAAAACTACATGAATACATATTAATGTTTATATTTAGATTTATAAACTTTTAAAATATACATACTTATGTTTTATTAATGTAAATGAGTTCGTGAATTAGCTTCTCCTACTTAATTTACCATATTTGTGTATTTAGCCAACTCATTATTACTGTCCACACCCACTTTTTTAATATTTACTAAGGCGTGCCGATCATGCGCAACACCATCGAATAGCGACGCCCAGATAGAATTATAAACCAAAAGTTCGAATCCGGCCCTCCCTTCGATAAAAGTGTGATTGGCTGGGAGGACGATACGCCTCTTCCTTAACACACTGTACCTGTGGTGTTTGGCAGAACATATAGGTTTTTTAGTATTTGAATTAATTCGCTTCCTAGATAGTTAAAAATAGTTTGAACTACCTGGATGAATATACCAACGTTCTGATCGTATATATTATTTAGCTAAAGAAAGAACAGTCGTTCCTTCCAAGCCCAGTATTTGTGATTACTTTCCAAAACAAAGCTGAAGTTTTGGAAGATTAGACGAAAATTGTTTAGGTTGGTTTAACACTATAAGTACTAACCTAATATAACCTATAACTAAACTAATAACTGGCTAAACTTGACATTCTGCATTTTCCTGTAACTGTTACAGCCATTTCGGTTCATATTTTAAATACCCGTTATCCTTGTTTTGTCTCTCTTTCTTATTTTATATATCTGTCCTCTAAATTTAGCATTATTTATATTCTTAGATTTCATTGTTTAGGCAATAGAAATACTTTTTCTTTCCACAATTTAGTTTCTATGTCATTTATTTACTGTTCATCGCCTCGACTCAGCTCGGCATTGGCTTGGAGGATCGATTACGCGCTTCCCTTAAATACGTACTTCGCTGATGATTGGCAGACGTTGGTTATATATAATAGTTTAATGCTGATACCAGAATAGTTGTGTATTTGTAGAAGAAGTTTCTTCCAGTGCAGTATTTTGTGGATTATGCTAAGGCTGAAGGGGTTTTGGAAAGATTGTAGGAGAAATGGTTAGGGTGGTTTGACATATAATTGAACCGTAAACTGATAACTAAGCCTAAAGAGGTAACTATAACTAAACTGATAGGACGTATAAAGCTAAGACTATAAACTGCTAAAGCTGCAATACTGCAGATCTGCACTTTGCTGTACTGTACAGGCTCTTTGTTCAGTTATTAAAATAACAGTTATATTGTAGCATATTGTTCTCTTCTAGGTGTAGTTTTGTGAAATTTGTCTCTATGGTTTAGCATTATTTATATTCTTTAGATTATGATGTGTTGCAGGCAAAGAAATATTTTCAAAGATTTAGCCAGGAATTCAGAGCTTTTATGTAGAATTATTGACAAGGATTCATCGCCTCAGAATAAATGGTGATTGGCTTTGGGAGGGATGGTGAAGGATCGATACGGGCTCTTCCTTACATACTGTACTTGTGATTGGGCAGAATTGGTTATAATAATAGTTTAATACTGTAAGAATAGTTGGTAACTCTTGAGGAACTGTCAGGCTGCCTTCTCACCCTGCCCCCCCCCCCTGTAAGCTTCATCAGTCAGTGCATGTTTAGGTTAAGGGTGGGGTGCTGAATCTGCCAATCTAGGCAGAAACTGTGAGAGGAAGAGGAGGAGGAGGCCTGAGAGGAAGCTGCAGGGAAGAACGTCCCTTCTTACTGTGTGTTCAGTGGTTTCCTTCGTTGCATCATTGAGCTGTCCTCTCCATACGTTGGCAGCGCATTAAGCTCTGGTTGCTCTGCGGTTTGAACCGTTCTCATTACAGAAGTTGGACTATTGTAAAAGTTATTTTTCTGGATTGAAAAATGTCAGTTTCTCCTTTTCTGATCGTCACGTAACCGGACCACGTGAACTACATAGTGACCAACCAGAACTGAATAAATACATGAAATACTGAACTTTTTAGATGGCTGGATTGTCGCACGTAAATTAAAAACCTTAATAATTCTCTCAGATAACTCTTTTATAATGTCATTGTTTAGGAAACTTGTTACGAATACAAAGTCAGCTATAACCGAATGACATACTTTTGGGGACTGAAGCTGGAGTTTTTTTCATGTTCAGACTGGGAGACACATTGTCCTCTTTTAGCACAGGGCCACTTCATTTTTTCCCCAAAGATGGTCAGAGTAAAGTTTATGCACAACTTCGTGTTTTTCCATCTTCGTTAGGTCACTCGATACCTCATCATCACAAAGACTGCGATGTGTTTTAGTGCTCCAAGCATTTGTGGTAATATTAATACAGAAAAAAAGCAAAATCACAAGAATATCTAAGTGTAAAAAAGGGAAATCTTTAACATTTGTGTCACATTTTACTCCTTTTTAAATACAGATGTGTTTAACTTATCTGTTTGTCTCTCCCTTTCCTCCCCCCCCTCCCCTGTTTCTCCTCTCTCAGCCGTGTAGTGTTGCCAGTCTCTGTGGAAGAGGTGAGTATCATTACGCCCTCGTTTACATTACACCATTCTCTTAAAGGCAGCCTTCCTAAAGTGTTATATATATATATATATATATATATTACAGCTTCAGCATGTTGTGTTTATCTCCTCCTGTACACACAATGCTCCTCCACTCTTCGGTCTGCGACACGTCCGAAGACAGAACAGCCTTTGTTAGCGAGCGCTGGTATTGGTGTGACAGGCTGGTGGTGGTGTTCGCACTGTGAGCTCAGCCTTTTAAAAACTGCAATCTCTTTGTCATCTTAATAGAAATCACTTTTTTTTTGTGTGCAGTTTATTTTGTGCTCTTTTTACCCCCCAAAAAAATAAACAACTTTAGTTTCAGTGAGCCCAGACCCCTTTGTGATATTCACTGACATCATACATTGGCCCTATTTCACAGCCTTCTCTACCAGGGGGAGAAACACTGTGGCTGGCAGGTAGAGCATTTAGCTTTAATGAGATATAAAGGGCCGGGGTGCTGTTAGTTTTGGTATTTCTTCACAATAATTGTATCAGCAGCCACATCCTGAAAAAGCCACTAATACTCCATATTAAAACATATGACTCGGAGGCAGAATACACTTACTTTAAAATGATTTAAGATGTTTTTCCTGACTGTAGAAAAACATGGATGTGGCTTTTTGTGAGCTCAGCCACAGGTTGGTAAATTAAATTAAAGATTTTTATTTTTAAGCCTTAATTTGAGTTAAAAGCTCACCTAATACATCAGCAAAGACTCCTGCTAACAAACATTAAAGCACACAACCTCTTTTAGATCCTCAGATATAGATCCAATACTGTGTAAGATGTATTTAAAGAGAGAAATCTGGGCTTTTTGAGTAGACTTGAATACAGAATCTTCTGTGTAGCACCCAGTGTCTGTTAGTGGTACTGCATCCTTGAAGCACCTGCCTTTGCTTCGGGGAGCTGCCCAGTCTTCGCCTATTCTAGCAAATAATCACAGTATCCGTCCCTGTAGTTTTAGGCGTTGTATTCACTCTGTGTCTTCGCTCTCTTCCCGTTTCTCACAGTATCAAGTAGGGCAGCTGTACTCTGTGGCTGAGGCCAGCAAGAATGAGACGGGAGGAGGAGAAGGCATCGAAGTGCTGAAGAACGAACCTTACGAGAAGGATGGGGAGAAGGGACAATACACACATAAAATATACCATCTAAAGAGGCAAGTCTTGGCAATTAACTGTGCTTTTAATATACTCTTAGGTTGTGTATAAGATCTACATAGGGTGGGCAAAATAATGGAAGCACCTAGGGTGACCAGCTGTGACCGAATTAAGAACAGTTGTCCTGAATAGTTTCCAATTTCTCCTGAAGATGATCCCATTATAGTGAATAATAAAACCGTGTGAACAAGCAAAAATGGCCTCAACTTTCAGACTTGGAGGAAATAATGCTGCAGGAGAGCACTTAGTGACACAGTCATATTGGAAAATGCTGCACTGAACCATTGTGTGTTTTGGCTGCCAAATTGTCATGAATAATTAATAACGGAGATTCACAAAAAGCTGTTGCTGTCACCAAAATAAAGAAGACTAAATTCTAATGACAATCCTTTCATTAAATTATCAATTCGCCTACATGAATTCTAGACACAGATCAATGAGGGTTTTTTTACTCTCTAAATCCTTGAAAATATTAATATCAGATCACTCATGTAGGCTATAATCCCTGCTTTGTTTTAGTTAAAATGTATTATTTTATGTGTTTTCACTTGTCTATAGCACAGATTGATCAGAAATAACAGATTGTTGATGTCATTCCACCTGTTTTGAGAGGTTTGTAAGCAGTTTAATGACTGAAAAGATGTTTAAAATGACTGTAACATACCAGTTCAAGTGTCTTGTGAACACTGTTTAAGATCATCCTCCAGTAAAAAGAGAACCTCACACATACAGTGATAACTTAGCTGGCTACTGCATGCTTTACAATTAGTGGAGAGACAGGTGAACATGTGCAGCCTCAGTTTGTACCGCAGAATGGAGGAAACTCCTTTGTGACAGCCTTAAATGCATAAAACTGATACTTAATATTTATTATTTATGAATGACAACCCCACAGAGGTGGCATTTATTGCATTGTGATCACCTTTTGGCCAACGCCCCGAACAAGTAACCGAAGTAAGGCACATAAAAGCCGGAGCGCTGGCAACTGGAACACGATCTGACTTTTTGCCTCCATCTGGTTGTTTGTTTGGATCACAGGAAAACGTTAACAGACCATCCCCGTTGCCAGCTGTTAAATCTGATGGCAGAAATGTGTTGGCAGCCATCTGAAGGGAGACATTAGGTGTTTATGACTACTCTGCGTGGTTGTACAACGGCCAATATAAGCAGCCATTTTACTGAACCAGCTTTGACTTGCAGGACAAACACCATTCCTGCGTGATGTTCTCCATATTTCAGGATCTCCTGCCAAACAGATTCAAGAGTAGCTTCACGACCTTTCCGGGCCTCACCAGTCCCGAGATAGAACACATCATTATGGGAAGAAAAGAAGGTTCTCTCCACCATCGTTTTCAGATAACTTGAAGCCTTCCTCTTTAATCAAATGTTTAATATCCCACCTAAAAAACTGAATTTCTATGTAGAACTACAAGGAGATCTGAAGCTGTTCTGAAGACAAAGCGTCATCCACTTCTGTGTCAGGTGTTTCCTCTTATTTTGTCCGCCCTCTGTACATGTATATTGTGTGACTGGTTCTTTGATATTGAAGGAAATAGGTGTTAGACTTTTGGCCGAGTGCCACCAACAACAAAAAAGACAATTCATTACAAGTACTAGAATTGATAAAAGGTTTTAATTTAGCCCGAGGAGGCTCCTTAAGGCAAGACAAAATTAGCTTATTTGAGGTTTTAATTACACATTCTGCTCCGGACCTAGGGATGTTTTACTCCTCTCAAAAGGACTATGAAGTTGATTGTCTGTCTTCTTTTTCTCCCACTGCAGTAAAGTCCCAGGTTATGTGAAGATGATTGCACCAGAGGGAGCATTAGTTTTTCACGAAAAGGCTTGGAACGCCTACCCATACTGTCGCACTAGTAAGTTCACACCGAAGAGTAAATCGGTTCATACTTGCTGTCTGTTCACTGCAGTGTGCTTGTAATCAAAGCGTCAGTTAAATGGACATTTTATGGATGTATACAGTATTTTTCCATATGTACTTTGTGTTCAGTTTTTCAAAGACGGTAAATGTCGACCTGATTTTTGATACTGATGCTAACTATTTCTTTTGTTTCCTTTTTCCTTCCTTCCTCTGCAGTTGTGACGGTGAGTTGTTTCTCAAACTTTTAAACTCTTTTTAAGGCCTGATCACACCAGAAAGTAAAACAGCAAAAGTTTACAAGTATTTGGTTCTTGAAGCTTGGTGACGTAGTGACTACTCAACGGCTACTGTGCTAGCCAGCCTGACAACATGCTCGCACTAATCCAGGGGAAGACGACCTGTGGCTCTTTAGCCCCTCTGCAGTGGACTCCTGCGCCTCTGACAACAAATGATATGGGAATTAGTAGTTAAATTAAAGGGATTCTCTTGTAAAAATGTATAGCCATCACACACCGAACAAATGTATTAACATTTCGTCAACTAACATACGTTACCTCCCGACGGGGCATCTTTTCCTCTATATTATGCCGAACCTCAATAGCACTGGCTGTTAGTCCTCAGTCTCCCCAGCTAGCTATTAATTCCAAATCTATAAAGAGTCTGGGAGGAAATGGAGAATTTAATAGTGCGTGGACAGATTTGTTTGTTGTCACCACCAACGCTGCTGCCTTCCTGTTACACATTATATGGCTCAAACGTGTCTTTGGCTCCAGACAGATTTTTAAATGTCTCTTTTGATCATAAAGGTGGCTTTGACCTTTGCACTAGGTTTACTACCCCTTGGGGTTCTGTCCCCCGGATCATTTCATTCAATAAAGAGTTATTAACGGTCTTCAAGGGACACATTTGTGCCATCGAGTCCTGTCACACAACTGTCTGCAAACCATTCCTCTTGTGTGGAGCGGTTTGTACCCACACACAACACAGGAGGTTAAATAAAAGTCAATGCTGCAACACAGCTCATTAGCTACGCTAGCTTCCTCCATTTTGCCCTTCCCTGCCTGCCCTTTCCCTCACAGGTCAGCACCGTCGAGATGGTTGCTTTTGGTGCAAATTTGCAAGTGAAAGTTCAACAGATTTGAATTTGAAGCAAAAGATTTGCGCAGATTTCTTTCGCCGACTGATCACTGCGATTCCAGTGAAATCAGTTGATTTCTTTCTGTGATATTTAGCGGTTTTAAATGCTGCTGTGATTGGGCCTTAATGTTGAGATTTATGATCACTACACAGATATTACTGGATGCTTGCAGCAGGCTAACACAAGTATTTGATCCCACTCTCTGTCTTGTGGTGCGTGTTTTCACTGCCTAATATTGCTGTACATTACCTGCAAGCGAGCCACTGCTGTGAGGGTTAGAAATAGATCTGAGCCGAGCAGAGCAGCATCTCTAGTGTTGTTTCAGTCTAATTGTCTGATGAGTTAATGGGATTTAGCTGTAGGGTTTAAGTACATCTCTCCGAATCCTCCATTCATGGCGTTCCTTGTACCATTTGTGCTGGCTGAGATTCAGCTGCACCTTCTTCAGTTTAGCAGCTATACCTGATTTCTCAGTAATGGCTCCAAATAGAGTTGAATCCCTTTTTTAAAAACCAAAGGTCAAATATTCATTATCCCCCTGGTGAAACTGTGTTTTCTGCTGATTTTCAGAACGAGTACATGAAGGACGACTTTATGATTAAGATCGAGACGTGGCACAAACCTGACATGGGAACAGTAGAAAATGTAAGTAAATTGAAGCAGATATCCAGACTCTGAGACCCTCATATCAATATGTATTCTACATTTCCAATAATGCAATGTGAGAGCATCTTTCATTAGACCCTCCCTGCCTGATAAATGCCCCTTTCAAACTATACACCCCCTATTTATATTGCAGGCTTTTCTGTTATAAATTTAAACTCTTAAAGCCCAGGCAGAGCTTTAAAAAACTCACTATATGTAGAAAAAAAACACCCATCTTAATAAAGATTATTATTATTATTATCATTATTATTATCTTATGCTGCCTATTGGGCCGAATAGTTTGACACACAGGAGAAAAAGGTAGAACACATCTGTGTGGTTTTGAATTTGAATCTCATTTGATTTATGCTCTACATATTTAAATAAAAAACAAAGTGTCTCGAATGTCCCGTGCACGTAGCTGAAGTTTACTTGCTTGTCTTTCTCTTTCTGTGTCTCAGGTCCATGACCTGGACGAGCAGACGTGGAGGACTGTGGAGGTGGTTCCCATAGATATAGCAAACAAAGAAGAAGTGGCCACTGGGGTGAGTTTCTAAGGGCTTTAACAAACCACCACCAAGGAAGATATTAAAAATATTTTGAGTGGATTGGCTGTGATCAGACAGCACACAGCCTGGTGAGCAAGGGTTGGTAACTCTGATTTACAGCAGGATGTCTCCACCCTGAGGAAGAGTGTGGTCATACAGGTTGACTGAAAGTGGCAGAGGAGCCGGGATAGCCATGCAACCACTCATCAACTTCATTTATCTACAGTTATCATGGCCAGTATACATGAAGCCTCACTGAACTTTATAAAATACTTAAATTACAGTAACAAGCTAAAGATGAAGACTGAGGGGCCGCTCGATTAATATTTAGATTGAGGAAGAACTGTTGTATTGTCGCTCACAATGGTCAAACTGTCTCCCTCTATAATGACTTGCAGTTGAGTAAAAAGCATTCTTTCTTCTTTTCTCTGCAAGTATAGTTATAACTGCCTGTACCCACATCAGTAGTCTGTCTCCAGCCCTCTTTATTAGTCACAAACTGTGAATCATCGTGCTATAAAGAATTCACATAATCAATAACAGCTCTGAGCAAATGTTAACAATGGTTAGTGCTCTTAGGAAAAACAACAGAAGGATTTACTAGTTTTTTGTGTGTACGTTCAGAGTCACTCCTAAAAAGTTCTTAAAGGGGAAATCCATCCAAAAACAGACCTGTGATTGTGCTGTCAGTTATTTAGATCAGTAGTAAGTGTCAGTGTAAGACGGGCTTTGGTGCCTACAGATTGTCCTTTGTCTTTTATTAGCGATGATACATTAACACCACAATATCACTAACAGCTCAGTGTTAGTTAACAGTAGATTTTTACTGCTTTATAATCAGAATTTGAATGAAGCTTTTGTGGAGAAATACAAGAGCTCCTTGATCTCATGTATCCCCGCTGATTTATTTAAACTTAACTAAATCAAGTTTTCTTCCCAGCAGTTTGTCAGAGTAGCAGCAGTGATGGAGGAGCCCTGTGTGGAACTGAAATCAGCCCTGAGTTAAAACATTGCAGGGGATTATGTTGGTAGGGGGTGCGTTGCTTCAGGCACAAGTGAGATATGAGATTTGATCCAGGAAGTCCAGTTTGAGTAACGGATGCATGAATTTGAAGGCTTCTCAAAGGGAAAAACACTGCACAGTGGTTTATAATACTACTACTACTACTACTACTACTGCTGCTGCT